ATGTGATTCAGATGGAGTAGCTTGGATTTGCTGACGTGAAGCGGTTTTCTGAAGTCAGGAGTTTAATGTTCACGATGGAGATAGTAGAGATTTCTTCACAGTATCTTATTTACTATTTTTCAGCTAAAACCAGGCAGTAAATCAATCATCATCTGTAATTATTGCTGCAGTAATTACCTTTGGGGAGCAGGTTATCATTCTAGGTGGCCTTTGTTCAAATATCTTTTTTGTTTTCTCTGTTTTATTTTTCTTGAATCATGTCAGTTTCTGAGTGGATTAACAGCATTCTGAAAACAGTCCGATGGTAAGATTTCCAAGAGGGCTAATCATGGGATTCATCTGAGAAGTTGAAAGATGCTTGCATAGGCATAGCATTTAAATTCATTGATAAGAGCCTGCCCATCAATTATTACATCTTAATTTTCAGTCAACAAACAAAAGCTGTAAGTAATGTTGCAAGGAGAATTTCAACTGTAGCGTTTATTTAAATTCCTTATTTCTTAAGTATTACTGATTTAGTGCAAACTATAGTTGTGCAGTTTAAAAATAAACAGTATTTTAAATAGCTTTTCTGAAAAAAACTATTATTTGAATCTATGTAAATGAGTTATTTAAACTCATGAGTGCTGTTTTACATCTAAATAAAATATGGAGTTACACATTACATTTCCAATTTGTCATGTACTTAGCAACCCTTTCTGGGAGGAAGATATAAGAGATATTTTTGATATGTCTGTCACTTTTGATAACTTAATTTGAAACTTATATCTTAGGGGAATACTGATACAAGGCAGGTAAATACATTAAAACAAAATGACAATTGAGTTTTTATATTGAATGCATGAATCTAACCTTCATCTGAAATGGTGGGTGTTAAGAAGTTGCTAATGACTAAATTTCTTTTATTTCTTGAAAATACAGGGTTTTGCATTACCCTGGTTTCTGTTTACATTCCTTTTCTTTTTTTTTTTTCTTTTTTTTTTTTTTCCCTTTTCCCTTCCCCCCTGTTTTGGTTTCATGCCAAATTTGACTGTCCCCCAGCTCTTGGTTAGGATTACATCTCAGATTTAGACCTGGGAAGGTAAAAAGACATAGCTAACATAAGCTATGCCCCTTACAATTTAAGAATAATAAAAGCATCTTCCCAAGGAAAAAATAAGGTTGTACTTCTTCTCTGTGAAAAAAAAGCATCGTCTCTTACAAATATACTAGAGGGTTGTGGCAAAAAGAAGACTCAAAAGGAGCCTTCAAATTATTTAACTTTCTGAAAAACTGTAATTTGAATATCTTATTTTACTTCAGGAAGGAGGAATTAAAGTTCAACTGCCAGGTTCTTTTAGGCAGGGGAAGGATCAGTTGCATCAAACTCATCAGTCCTGACCTATATTTCATTCTACTGATTAATTTATCCCATTTCCTTGGTTAGTTTCTGAAAGAAAAAAGAAAAATCTATTAGGTATCATTGACCTGATCAAAATCACCTAATGCATTTGGGGGGGGGGGGGGAAGGAGGATAGCGGGAGAAAAGCAGGTGGGGAAAGATTAAGTCAGAGATGTGATACCTGAGTATAAGCCTCAAAAGAGCCACTGTGCAAATGAAGGGTGTTGAAGAAGGGCAATTGGTATGACTCCTTAAACTCCTGACACCTAAGGGCAATGCTGTTCCCTAAACAAAACTAGGCTGGAGACCTCCTGTGATGAGAAAGCAAGGAAGCAGGGGAAAGTAGCTTGCTTGTATCTTGTTTAACTTGGCCATTTGAATGGTAAACCTTTTTTTGTGACTTGGCATGCTTTGTAGATATCACACTTAGGTTACTGACCACCTTCCCTCTCCCTTCCCTTTCTGGTTTATGGGGTTTTACGTTTGGGAGGGTTTGAGGTTTTTCTTTTACCCTTACTACTGTCTTTTGGTGAGAAACTTTGTTTAGGAACAAAGTTACAAAAATATAGTCACTTGCAAAGAAAACCAGGTACTCCTTATGCAAACTGGAATGAAAATGTAGTCCTACTAAATGTTAACCCCAGGTTTCTGTAAGCTAAAGCCAGGTAATATCCATTATGCTAAAATCACTGAAACTGATGATGTATGTGTTAGATAAGCCATCGCAAGGAATCTAGAACAGCCCCATACATTTAATAGAAGCGCTGATTTATGAAAGTGATTTCTTTAAAAAAACAAGCAAGCCCTCCAAAAGAATATTTTATTACTACTTCTAAGTAAATTTTTACTCATTGTAATTTTGCATTGCACATTTGACTGCAGAAATAAAATTACTGAATGTTAGTTCCTAGAAAGATGAGAAGGAAAAAATTTTCTTGGCTGTATTTTATTTATCTATGTTCTGCTTAAAAAAAAGGCTTGTATCTTGGAATATTTTGGCAATCCTGGAATGTCTTTTAAAGTTGTTCCCTCTTTTTGAGGAAACGTAGGTACTCTTTCCATCCTGCCTGAATTTACAACTGCAACTCCATGCAAAGTGTTGGTGGCCTGAGTAAAGGTACCTGTGTTCTAATGTGACTTGTTTTCTCATCATAAATATGAAGCAAAAGGATGTTTCTTGTAGAGAGGTGCAGGTTTTATGGTGTTACTACCAAGGGAGGTGGAACATTAGTGGATCAAACCAAAAAATCCTAGTTAATAGCAGCAGTAGTTCAGAGACAATTTGACATTCGGATCCCCTTCAAACAGTAGCCTTTACATTTCTGTGGAACTGTCAACTATTTGAATGTTTATTCTCAGCCCCAACCCTCCCTGGCTTCTAAATTGCGTGGACTAGACTCAAAAGTCATTAGATTGTCTGCTGATTAGACTATAATCAATCCAGCATAAACAAAACCAGCAATTAGTATTGGCATGATTTCTGTGAACTTGACTTAAAGTTTCAGTGTTACCAGTCCAAAGAACTTTTTCTGAACTGGACGCTTACAGAAACTGTTATTTTGGCATCATCATTTCATAGGGAGGGAACAAAAAATTCGTAAGATTCCATTTGGCCTGAAAAGCAAAAACATCTGTTTGATGCATGAGTGAATTACTGGCTTCTATTTGGCCATCCAAAAAAGGGCAGAAATTAAGATATCGAACATAAAAGAGTACATGAAAAAACAAATTACAAAGAGGAATTAAGATTAGGATCTTTTTATAATGCAGGCTATTTATAGTGTTCTCTTTTTGACTTGCCAAAGCATGCCCCAGCTCCTTTATATATCAAAAACCCCGGTAACAACAAAAACATCCCTAACCTTTAGTAATATTCATTGACTTTGGCAATGCATACTGGTATTGATGGGCTTGATTAGCTGTAGGATTACAATAGTGCTACTCACTCATTTTGGGGGCCAGCATGAGTTATATTGACCATTGCAGTCTGCTGCTTAGGAGCAGGTATTATTAGGAATGAACATCTAAACGGCTACCGGTTGTACAGCTAGCTTTCATAAAGGTGAAATCTTCTGGCAAAGGTAATATGAAGAGGCTTAGAAGTGCTGCACGTTTGGTTTGATCTTGTTTTCCTGAGTTGCTGTTAACTTGTGTAACAAGGGAAGCTGTCAATATGGAGACACTTATCTAATGTGTAGGATAACGTTATCCACTATGATCTGAGATGTCTTGAAAGGCTTTATTTTGCTCTGTAATTCATTCTGTCTAATTTACAATGGTTTAATAGCTCTCATTTCTTTGTTCTGAAACAAGAGTCAGTATTTTGAAACTTGTGCATTTCGGAAAAAAGGAAATCTTGGTTTTGAGTAATTGTATATGAGGAAAAGATCTAGGAAAACTGTTAATGCTTTACAAAGACCATATGGATTCAGTATTTTTTCAGAGAATCAGAATGGTTTGGGTTGGAAAAGGACCTTAAGGTCATCTAGTTCCACCCCCACCCTGCCATGGGCAGGTAAAACACTGAAGATATTTTGAGTTGTTTTGTTCAGTTTGATTAACATATAGTCTAAGCGCTGGTACCTTAAGACAGACCTCTTAGCATCTTTTCACAGCTGCAGTTTATGGTTTTCATTGATTCCTGTAAGGCTACCTGAGCATAAGATCAGTTGCAGCTGGGGATGGGGAAGATGCGCTGCTGCACTTAAATCAGCACTGTATATATATATACATATGCATATATCCTTTCCCTGAAGGGACAACATACAGAACTATGAAGAATTGGGACTGTTTTACTTGGTGCTGTGAAAATGTACGTTTCTTTTCTAATACATTTTGTAGTGTGTTATGACAAAGCACTGAAGTTTTTCAGTTGCTCTCTCTACAAAAGTCAGATAGTATAAGAGGAGCTTTTGAACACTTTTAAATCATAACACAACATTTGACAAAGGATTCTGACAAAAGATGAATGTGCAAACACTAAAAGAAGTAGTGAGATTTGTTTTTGTTTTAGCTTTAACACAACTTGGGTTCTATTTCACTTCAAGTATAAGTAATTATGCTAGTTTAGCAATTATTAGAGATGAAAGAAATTCTCTTAGATATGAGCCTCCTAAACTTCAGTAGCTTTAGCTTTAGCCAGGATAATGATCAAGGAATAGTTAGCCATATGCCTAGGGACTATGCTGTAGCAAAAAAGATAGGGCTGATCTTGGGGGTATCATTATTACAACATGTTATAATTAACATTTTCATCCAGCCCT